TGAGACTGCCATGCCCTGGCTCCTCCCCCTCATCCCCTTAGATCCTCCTGCACGCCATGAAACAGCTGATCTGGGGGTGTGGGGAGGCGCTGATTGGCGGGGCTGCCAGTGGGTAGGAGGCACTGGGAGGGGGAAGTGGATGGGGGCCTGCTGACATATTCCTGTGGCTCTTTGGCAATGTACATTGGTAAATTCTGGCTCCTTCTCAGGCTCAGGTTGGCCACCCCTGCTCTAAGGGCTGACACTGGAAACTCACATTGTCTCCCTAATGAGAGAGTCAGGCTGGTTATGCATCACACACACACACACACACACACACACACACCATTAGCACCTTTCAGCTCAACAGCAAAGCTACTGTTGAATTGCAGCTCTGCCTTGTGTGTTGTAAAAGGTTCCAACAATGAGCTGTCAAGGGTGGAGAATCACAGACAAGTGACAGTTAACCTGTATCTACTGTTAACTAACCTTATTTATGAGGAATCGGTTATAGCAAAAAACCCCAAGGATGATTGTGTTAGGAAAAAAGCTCCCTATTGAGCTAAAAGGAAATCTTTCCTGCGTTTCCTCTTTCAGTCATTACTCCTGCAATTGCAACTTACCGTTCACCCCATGGTTTATTCATGCCCAGCTATGTTATAAGTCTGTCATCTCATTGTTTTAGCTTATAAATGTCACAGAAGCTGTGTAACAATCAATTTCCAAAGTGAGACCCTTAAAAAGAGTGTCTGTACAGTGCCTAGCACCTTGGGGCCAAATCTGGTTGTTGCCTTTTGGCACTACTCACAATATAAGTGTTCAATAATACTATTAACGGAACAGGTGCTGAGTTGTACCATCCAGCAGGAAACGTGAAAAACTTTAAAGACTGGTAGGTACATTTGCAGTTATATGTATTAAGGTCTTCTCTCCTCTTCCTCCCATTCTTATTGACCTTTCAGACCCAGTGAATCTCCCTTTCACTTTCAGCACCTTATTTTCCAACCTTGCTACCCGCAATATTTCCAAACTAGATTTATTCCAGCAGGACCATGGGACCACTCATCATGCAGGACTAGGTACATTCCAAGTTCAAAGTTTAGAAACAGTGGGGCTTTGGGTTTGTCTGGGAATGCAAGCCTCTTAATTTTATATCAAAATGCAGTAGTTACAGCGTATGTCACTGGGGCTAGGGGGGTGACAATCACATTTGTTTTTTTGCTTTTCAAAAAGTCCATTGTGGAATAACAATTGAGCATAAGAAACGTGAGCCTGTTAAAGCAATTTTCTGAGGAAGCTGTAGGCACTGAAGGCAGCTAGTGCCAGCGACACATGACCAGTAGAATTGCTGCCATGATACTACATACAGATGATTGAATATTAGGCGAGGTATTTCTAGTAGGGATAAGGAGGTGCTGGTTCCGTTATACAAGGCACTGGTGAGACCTCATTTGGAGTACTGTGTGCAGTTCTGGTCTCCCATGTTTAAAAAGGATGAAATCAATCTGGAATGGGTACAAAGAAGGGCCACTACGATGATCCAAGGAATGGAAAATCTGTCGTATGAAAGGAGACTCGAGGAGCTCGGTTTGTTTACCTTAACCAAAAGAAGGCTGAGGGGGGATATGATTGCTCTCTTTAAATATATCAGAGGGATAAATACCAGGGAGGGAGAGGAATTATTTCAGCTCAGTACTAATGTGGACACGAGAACGAATGGATATAAACTGGCCGTTGGGAAGTTTAGGCTTGAAATTAGACGAAGA